CTGCACCCCTCACCACTACGAGAGAAGGGCTTTCCAAAGCCGGACGGGGCAGCTGTGCGCCATCTTCGCCATCCGGGCTTGCGAATGAGGATCCAAAGGGTCGGGAGCCCCCGCTCCCACTCGTCTCTGGAGTGAAAAGAAATAAAGGGGGGAGCAGTTGCCCACTAAGAGAGCCGATGCCATATGTAAAGGAGAGATCCGGTGCATAAATAAAATTTATCCAGAACCGAAGGGCCAAGGTGGTGGCCTTGACATCCCGGGCACAGTCCACCAACTGACCCAAGATCCCAGAGGGATCTTCAGGACTTTTGCTCGCAACTCCAGTCAGGCTGTATTTCCCCTTCGGGGGGCTGCGAAGGCTGAGGCTGTGGCAGGTGCCCCGTCCCAGGGTGCAGTTGCCCTCTTGGGCTAACCCGGATGTCGTCTCCATTTACACAGCCCGTTTCTCCAGGTTTAGTCGAGGCTGATGGCTGCATTTGCACAGGGTTCAAAACTTGGTCAGTTCTAACCAAGGGGGTCAGAAAGTCACGATGGCAGCCCAGGGTGCACAATCAAAGCCCCCCCCCCCCCAATATGCACCGCCTGGTTTTGGATTTCTTTGTTTGGTCTTTGGGCACTGAGATTTTAAAAACAGTCAGAAGGTCGGACCTGGAATTGCCTTCTGCGGCGAAATTAAGCCTGTCTTCACACACCAGGCATGCCAGCTGCTTGGGGCCATGCTCTAACCCTGATTAGCTTTAACCTTGGTGGGCTGGGTTGTGGCTCAGAAAGTTGCCGGGATGGGCAATTTCTGGTTGGATCAGTATCTGTGAGAACCCTGAAAATGTGTCATTCAGTAACAGGTTCTGCATGTGGCCCTTCAGGAGGAATCAGTTTATTCTGGGAATGTTTTGGGGATCCCAGCACACCCCTGAGGGAGTCCCCGTCGCTTCTGAACATAGCAGGAAAAGCCCCTATATTTCCACCCACTGCAAGGAAAGGGCCAGGCTGGGGCCAGATCATCACGGGGAAAATCTATTTGTGTGGTCCCTAAGAGTCCACAACGACTTGATGGCGCATCATTGTCATCAACACTGTTTTTATATTTTATTGTATTTTATTGTTTTATTTTAATAGGCATATACATGCTGCTCTAATGGGCAACTGACTGGGAGCGGCTGATTTCCTACCACATGCAAACAAGATTAAAAGAACAAAAATGGTCAGCCACGAATGCCATTCCTGGGCTGAGAAATCTGCCGCCGTCCCAGCTTATGTTCTTAGCCCAGCCCCCCCCGCCCTGCCCCGAGCCCTGTGGGAAGAGCCAGGGTTTCATCGCTTTCCTGCATCCCACTCACCATAGGGCACGGAGGGGGGACGGATTGGGGGGGAGCAACCTTGGGGTGCTCCTTCCTTCCCAAGTTCTCCAGGATGGAGGTCTGAGGTGGGGGGGTGCCTGGATTGCAGCAAGCGTGCCAGGATGCTTGTGCGCAGCCTGACCGTCGCCCCACCCGTTCGGAAGTCTGTTTGGAACATTGCTCCCCCCACCAGAACAAGTGTAAGACTGGCTTTTGTCCCTCCTGGGACACCCAACGTCTGTGGGGCAGGACCGTCTCCGTCACACGCACCTCAACACACCCTGGGGGGGTCCCGCAGATCAAGCGAAAGAGGGTCGCCCTCCGAGTCTCCCCCCAAGGGCAAATGAGCAGGGATTGGAATCTGTGGGGGCAGATTGGCCTCCAGGGACAGAAATCGCCCGTTTTGGGGGGCCTCCCTGACAGATTGCTGGCCTTTCCTATTTGATCCCTTGGGACAATTTAGGAAGAAATATGACCAGCCAGAGCTCTGCACCGGACGGGTGGGAACAGAATGATTTTCCTAAAATAACCCTTTCCTGATCTGTTGGGAGATTAAACATCCAGAAGCTTGAAAGGAAGGAAGGGCTTGTGGCCAGTGGGAATAAAAACCAGGACTTTGATCCAGGGCCAAAGGACGTCTTCTGGCATGGGGTGGGCGGGGGGGTTCAGGCA